TTTTTCAGTCACACCCAGGGTTGCTCAGGGGTTACTCCTGGCTCTGCATACAGGAATCACTCCTGGTAGTGCTCGGGGGACCATATGGATGCCAGTGTTTGAACATGGGTCTCTCATGTGCACCTGCTGTACTATGGCTCCTTCCCCAAGGCATGAGAGCTCTTAGACCCACAGTGTTAAGTGCCACTTACCTGGTGCAAGGTTCAGTTTCAAAAAAGGCACATCTGGGGCTGAGCGAGCGTAGAGCAGGTTGGTGGGCATTTGCCTTGCATGCAGCTGGCCAATGTTCTGTTCTTGGCATCCCATATGCCCCCCCACCCCCACCCCTCAAAAGTGATCCCTGAGCTCAGAACCAGGAAAAAGCCTTGGGCACCGTCGCGTGTGGCCAGAGAACCAAAAACAAACAAAAAGACCAAACTACAACAGGACCCGGAGAACAGGCTCACAGGAGGTGTGGCTGGGCAGGAAGGCACCAGTGGGCCCTGTCTGGCTGGGTTGCCTGTGTGCAGGCAGGCGTGAAGGTGGCCCTGACTGAGCATTTGGGGAATGCTGGTGCATCCCACCCTGGGCCTCTCAGGCCAGGGCACACAGGGGGAATGGTTGCTCTACTGGAGGGGAGCACTCGTGAGTGAGGGGTCTGTGTTGACTGGTAGGAAGTGGGGCCTCAGGGTCCCTGGAGCTGCATGTGAGGGACCCTCATGAATCCCCGCCCGGCCGTGTGTGCCTGCCCCGTGGGACAGTGGTTGCCTGCTCCCTGGAGCGCCCGGCTCTGTGCTTGGAGACATGGGTCACGTATCTAATTGCAACAGCAAGGGAAAAATAGAACATGTTTTCCCTTTATCTGGGAATTTCCTCTCTTTAAGTGCCTGGAATATTTTACTTAAGCATTTGGAATTTCCCATCCCTGCTGAGAGATAGTTCTGGAGTTCACCCAGAGAAGCGGAGGTACCTGGTTTCTGGTTTCTCAGCAAAAATTCTTAATCGGAGGGCGAATGGTGGGTACTGGGGATCGATCGGGCGGGGCATTGAGGATGTCGTGAACTGGGTGACACAGCTGCAGGGTGCAGTATAAGACACCAGTGAGGGTCAGGGATGTGGCTCAAGGGGTGGAGCACAGGCCTTGCATGTGTGAGGCACTGAGTTTGATCCCTCAAGTCACATGCCTCTCCCACCCAGCCCTCCTGCTAACCTGTATCCCCTCCCCAACTTCTGTGGTCCTTGCACAACAACCTGGGGCCTCTGGCTTGGAAACAGAGCAGGGACAACTCCACTTGCTTAGCTGCCATGGCTGTCCAGGCTGGCTGTGGAAGGCTGGGTGCTCAGTGGTACATAGTGGTAGACTGGGATAACTTGCCTGGGCTCACGTGGTTCAGTTTTCAGTGTGTGCAAGGCCTTGAAAATGGCAGAAGCGCAGGGGTGGGGTGGGCCAGGGTCTGATTGCTGTTGCAGAGCTTCCGAGGGGTAGGACCAGAGGTAGATGGAATGGTGGGCCTCCTCCTTTTGTACTATGAGTCTGGTAGAGTCAACTTGTGGCAGACACCTGGGGCCTGGTAGTTCCAAAGGCTCCTGACTTTGCAGTTTCAGAGGGACAAAACCCACCCCTTGCTCCCCAGCACACATGTACACGCACAATTTGAGTGTGAAGCCTCAGGTTGGGTACAATAAAGGTTTGGAGGCAGCCCTCTGAGTTCTGCTGGGGGGGGGGGTCTGTTCTTTCCCCCAACCCCTTCCCACCCCCTTTCATCTTTTCCCTGAGAATTTTAGATAGGCATCACAATTAAAACCCCCCTGATTACTTGCTTAAGTGGGATTACTTGCTTAAGACAGACTCAGGCTGTCTGTTCACTGGCTAGGAGACCACCTGTGCTCAGACCCCCACTCACCGTGGGCTGTGGCAGGGGCCGGGTACGCTGCCCACTGCCGTGTCTCACGCTCATCCTCCCTCCTGCAGCCTCTTTCCTTCTCAGAATCACTTTCATGCCTGAGTCCTTGAGCACAGAGCAAAACCCCTGTCATCTGTCACCTGTTGGCTGTGTGTCCATTGTCACAGAATAGTCATTCTTCAACTCGGCTGCATATTGCAATCACCTGCATCGAAAATATCCTGGTGCTGGGCTCTTTCCCTTGGAGATTCTGGGCTAATGGGGTGCGGCGTTGATCTTGGGATTTAATTCTTCCCAAATGGTGCTTAATAATGCAGCTGAGTTGGAGTACCACTGTTAGAGAAATAAAGGTTCTCTCTTCCTGGAAGGAAGAGGCAAGACTATTTTCAGATAAATCCCAAGGAGCCTGCTTGAGAAACTATTAGGTCTAATAAATGAGTTCCACAAGGATAGAAGGTCCATGTGCGAAAATGTCCTCGCTTGCTGTTTATCTTTCTGACGGGTTTTTCCGTGGGAGCCCGTGTATTTAGACACCACACATGGGCGGTCTGCAACTTTTATTTTTTGTGTGCTTTTGGATATTTTTGGGCTATGATTAGCTTCTCCCACCTAAAGTGATGCCTAGTGACTTTTTTCCTTGAAGGTTGCTCAGGTGCGGTTTGGGTGACCATGGGACATTGGGGATGAATTCGGGCCTCCTGCATGCAAAGCTTGTGTGCAGCCCATTGAACTGTCCTCAGGCACCCAGTGCTCATTCTTGGCCTGTGTTGTTTATTGTTTGATTTTATTTTATTTTTTTATTTTATTTTATTTTATTTTATTTTATTTTTTTGCTTTTTGCTGGTGATGCACAGGGGTTACTCCTGGCTCATGCACTCAGGAATTACTCCTGGCGGTGCTCAGGGGACCATATGGGATGCTGGGAATCGAACCCGGGTCGGCCACATGCAAGGCAAACGCCCTACCCGCTGTACTATCACTCCAGCCCCTACCTATTGTTTGATTTTAGAGAAAAGATTTCAAGTGTGGAATTTCTGGCCCATGGGGTATATTCAGTCATGAAGTTCCCAGAGCAGTAGGAACTTCCTCTTTCCCTCTAGACCCAGAAACTAGTGGATTCTAAGTCTAATGTGGACCGGAACCTGAGTTCCAGTCCCTTGCATGTGCAGCCCTGAGGTGGCCATCTGTCTTCTGCGGTTACTTGTTTGACTCTGAAGCAGTAAGGCAGCATCATGAAACTTACCCCTCGGAAGGATTCAGACAGTCTTCTGAGCTCTGGCCCTGCTCAGCTCTTCCTGACTCCTGAACCATTGATCCCCAGATGTCACCAGGGTGGCTTATCTTTAAGGAGGAAGGGACTTTCTGGAGATCACATCCCCGCCACCTCAGCCCCCTAACTCTGGGGACGGGACACTTTCCAGAGTGCTCCTTCAGACACTATAAAGTGTTGTGTCACCCTTCTTGGACCTAGATTCTTCAACTGTGGATCATCGTCCAGTGGCAGAACTAATGAGATCAGCAGGAAAATTTTGTTTCAGAATGGATTTATGGTATATAATCGGTGTTTCTTGTTTGTTTTGGGCAACACCCAGTGGTGGTCTGTGTCTATGCCCAGCTCTGTGTGGGGGTGGGGGCGGAGGGTGCAGGGGCTCAGACTCAGGCATGGCAAGGGTGTGTTCAGCCCATTGAGTGTCAGGCTGGCCCCAGCAGGCCTGCAGTGCCTGGACTAACCCTGTACTGGTCTGCAGGTGTAAAGTGATGGAAAATCATGGCCCTGGGCTCAGTGGGGCTTGGCCGGGCTGGGTTCCTCTTGCAGGTTTCCAAGTGCCCTCCTGTTCTACACAGCACTCCAAGGTGCCAGTGGCAGTACCCGGCCTCAGCAGAAGGAGGGAACCTCTCAAGGAGCTGCCGTTTGGTTTTGTTAGAGATCATGAATATGTGCAAATTTGATTGCCAAGAGTTAAGACCTTTCCAGTGATCTCTGCACAACGCACAACCCTGTGTTAAGGTGTGATTCACCGTGCCAGTGATGCAACCTTGGATTTTGTTGTGGTCATTCTGTTTTCTTTGGTTCGGGGTCCACACCTGGCAGTGCTCATAGACTGTTAGGTGGTGCTGGGAATCGAACCCAGGTCTGCCATATGCAAGATAAGCATCTTCCCCTTTGTACTATCCCTCCTGCCCGCAGTTTTGGAATTGAGAAAGGTGTAACTTTGCGGGGAAAAAAAAAAATCTGCCATGGGCGACACTAAACATAAAACATGTCTGTGTGCACATGTGCACGTGTGTATGTTTGTGTGTTTATGTGTGTATGTGTGTGCACGTGTGTGTTGGGTGGAGTGGGGTTGGGAACTGGTGATTGCCACTGGAGCCTCATATGTGCAAAGTGAGTGCTCATATCCCTGACTCAAGGTGTGTCCCCATCTTTGGTTTCCTGTCTCGGTACCTGTTTACTTTGTTCCAGGCCCTTCTGTTTTCTCCTTGTCTGGATAGAACTAATCAGACCTCCTGGTTGTTTTTGTTTGATGCACTGTTTGTCCTGCTCTCAGATCTCCTGGAAGGCAGCTTGGTGTGTGTGTGTATACATGCCAATGTCCATTCTCTCTGACCTCCAGGGTAACGCCCAGACTCTAGATCAGGGGCCTCAGGACTCATGGCTTTCGCCCAACCCCCAAATAACTTGATTGTACATAAATGGGCATGACCCTTCTTGCTCCAGCATCGCACCCTCCTCCCTCCTCTGGCCTCAGGGGTGCCTTTCCACGCCCCATGGCCTCTGGGCGCCTGTCAGGGGTGTGGACATGTGAATTCCGTGGAGACCGGCACAGTGCTCCAACCTCCCTGGGAATGGACGAAGGTGGGCTTGGAGATGAGAAAAGCAGGATATAATTATCTGCCTGTTTAATGGAGGGGCTTGGGGGGAATTTGGCGCCCAGAAGTGAAAGGGACGTGGGTTCCAGAGTGGCAGGGCAGTATGTGTGGGCACAAGAGTGGGAGGGCTTCTGACTTTCCTGCAGGGGGTCCCCCCAGCTGTGTGGGTGTGGGTGGAGGGAGCGTACTGCGGTCCCTGGGTCCCCTCCCCTGGCTCACTGCTCCCTCTCTCCCCTCCTCTCCCAGGTGTAGTTGCGTCCAGCCTGCAGGATGGCCATCCAGCTCCGCGCTCTCTTCCCCTTGGCAGTGCCTGGCATGCTTGCACTCCTTGGCTGGTGGTGGTTCTTCTCTCGAAAGAAAGAGCACAATAGCGCCCCCGCCATACCAGAGGAGGCGGGCGCTGTGACGTTGGGCACCGCACCTGCCCCCAAGGAGGAGACTTTCCCAGGCGGGGACCCGGGCCCTCCGGTGGCATCCACCCCCCTCAGGGTTAGTCTGCCGCCCGAGAAGGAGCTGTCCCCGGTGGGCAAGCCAGCGGTGGAGCCCCCCGCCCTGCTGCGGGCACAGCCAGTCTGCCGCCGGTCCGAGTCCTCGGGCAGCCTTCCCAGCACCACTGACCCGCGACTTCGCCCTGGGATCCGGAAGGACGATGGCGCGCAGGTGGGGCTGGCCCCGACGGGGGACGAAGCCAAGCCAGTTCCTCAGGAGTGTCACCTTCCAGCCCCCAGGGCAGTCTCGTTCCCCCACGAAGCCGCAGAGATGTGCAAGCGGGAGTCCCTGCTGAGCAGGACTTCAGGGCAGGGCCGGCAAAGCCAGGCTGGGGCCCAGGCAGAGAAGCACGGCGCCGGGGAGAAGGCGCGCGAGAGGGCTGAGGGCACGGGTGACGCAGCCGCCGCGCCGGGAGACAGCGTGCTGGAAGAAGGGCTGTTGAGTTCGGAGTATGGCCCCGAGTTGCAGAGCAGCAGGGGTCGCGCCCCTTCAGGAGGTGGGGGAGAGCGAGGGCCGAGCGGCCCACCCTCAGGAAATGGAAGGAAGGTGTGCACCCACGCAGCTGAGCTGGGGAAGGAGGAAGAGGCGACGCGCGCGGAGCCGAGCCAGGCTGAGAGCCCTGCACTGCCCGGCAGAGGTGGCAGGACCCGGGACAGAGATGCGGTGGCCGGGAAGCTGGACCCTGAGAAGGCCTTGGATCAGAATGAGGCCATCGAGCAGGCTGCTTTGCAGTTAATCTCCAAAGTGATCTTGGGAGCAACGGAAGAAGTGCTGGCCACGACCGTGGGTAAGATCGCAGGCCGCCTGGGCCAGGCCCCTGCCAGCCAGTGTCCAGGGCAGGAGGAGAGAGGTGCACCCGGGGGCCAGCAGATAGCCGCACGCCCGGCACAGCCGGCCCTGCCTTCACCAGCCCCAGCGGGAGAGGACGCGCCACTTCCAAAGACCTATGTGAGCTGCCTGACCAGCCCTCTGTGCAGCCCCACCAAGGACAAGAAGCCAAAGACCTCCGCACACCACCTCTCCCTGACACCCTGCCTGCCCCCGGCCACCCCTCCGGGAGAGCTGCTTGGCGAGGCGAGCGTCCCAGTGGAAGATCCGGGCTGTGTCCCTTGCACTTACGACAGCAGCCAGGCTGGTCCCTCCATGGCCTCCAGGCAATCCTCAGATTCTGCCAGCACTTTGGGGCAGGAAGACTCTTGTCCAGAAACCAGCTCCAGCCCCCGGGAAAAGGCCAGCACACCACCGCTGCCCGAAAGTACTGTGCCCTTCAGCAATGGGGTGCTCAAGGGCTTGTCGGACCTGGGGACTGAGGACGGATGGCCCCCGGACGCCGAGGCGGATCACTCGGGAGGTAGGCGGCTCTCGGGGGGCTCCACGCTGAGCGGCCGGGGCTCACTCTCTTTTTCTGGGAGTCCAGCCAGCCGGCCTGCCTCGCTTTGGTGTGCAGGCGGTGAGGGTACTAGCCAGCGCTGCTTCCCCATGGGCTTGCAGAGAGCTGGGGTGCAGCCTGGAGTAAGCGAGTCACCGCCAAGCGAGCTGGCTCCACTCTAGGCCTCCCTGAATCCAGACCTGGGGAGCTGTACCTTAGACTGGCCGTTGTCGGTCACCTGCCCCAACCCTGAGGAAGGAACCTGGTGGTCGTCAGGGCCACTGGTTAGCCTAAGTGTGTCCCTCTGTCTCCTTGGCAAGCACTCCCTTAAACAGCTAGACGGAGAGATGGCCTTAGCGTGACACCCCTCAGTCCCCAGTCTGGCTGCGGCCCTTGTCCGGGACTTGCATCCTTTAATCGTTCCCACGTGCTCAGAGGCCCTCCCAGGGTAAGTGCTGTGGGGCTGCGCTCACTGACTCCTTGGCCAGGGCCTCAGCTGTTTTCTTCGCAGATGGTTCTCTGCAACCAGCACCCCCCCCCCCTCGCCCTACCCCAAACACCCTAAAACGGGGCACTATTGTAACCAGGTGTCGGCTGAGTTTTTCGAGTCTTGAGCCTCCCAACGATGGTTCAGATGGCTAACACACAGGTCAGCAGCCTTTCCTTCCACTTAGCTCAGGAGAAAGGCTGGGCCCTGCATGGGCCTGGAGCCTTATCCCCCGGGAAGGAGGGGAAATGTTCCCGGGAACCTCTTGTGTTTCCAGCCAGTGTCTAGCCTGTCTTTACGCGTGTTTTAGTCAGTGGAGACACCACGGTTGTGTGCTTCCAAAGGGGGTGGGGGTGGGGGTGTGGAGCTGAGGGGCGGCTCTCCTGGTTGCAGCTGGAAGGCCAGATGCTACCTGCTGCATCCTGAACACCTCAAGTGTGGGGGAGCGAGCACCCCAGTGACAGACACCCCCCACAGACAAGTCTCCCCCCAACACAAAAGCCCCTCAAGAGGAATGGCTCCCCACCCCACCGCAAGCAAATAAAGACTTTTCCTTTCAGCTTGCCAGCTCTAGGGTTATTGTAGCAGTTGCGCAGCAAGGCAGGGGCTTCTGAGTTCAGGCCCCCCCTTAAGAGAAGCTGCCTGAGGCCTGGTGGTAGGAGCAGAGGGTGGGTTTGGGCCCCCAGCACAGGCTCCTGCCTTCCCTCACGTGCCCCCAGGCCAAGGAGGTGGAGGGAAAGCAGGGACATGGTGCCCAGACCAGCCCGCAGACTTGACTTCGTGTTAGGAGGGCCCAGGAGTCCTTGGGCTAGAGACGCTGGCCAGTCCCGGCAGTTGGGGGCAGAGCTCCTGGGGCCTCTGGGAGGAGGAGATGGAGGGGTGGCTTGGGCCTCCAGGGGAAGTTCTCTCCAGCCTGGCTCCTCTGAGTTCCGACTGCAAGTGCGGGCTCAGCGAAGGAGTATGTCTAGGGTTTGGAGAAATCATGTGGAAAGTAACCTAATTAGTGGCATCTCAGGAGTGACTTATTTCTGGCAGTGGAGTTTTCCCTCTCTGAAAGCCGGAGCCTCCCCTCCAGACTCCTGCTTTCCGCGAGCTCGAGCGAGGCAGCTCAGGCTGGTGCCCTGCACTCCGTTGAGTCTCTTTAGATTCGAGTGGCAAAGTACAGCTTGAGTGGAGGTGCGCCCCGCCCTGCCCTCTTCCTGTGGTCCAGCAGGGCCTCCCTCTGCCCTGGACAGCTCTTCCAGCAGGCTGGAGGCGTCTCCGGGGGCTGCTCTGCTGATGGCTACCCTGGGACCCCTGCCTAGAACCCCCCATGCCCCCATGGGACTGGTGTGGCTAGGAGGGTGCAGGCCAGTTGTAAGTGGTCAGCCTCCCCTGGAGGATGGCAGCACCCCAGGACCTGTGGATCCAGGACCTTGTGGACCTCTTGGCCCACCCTTCCCCCCTCCCCGTGGACGCCCCTCCTGGGCCAGTGCCTGTGTCTCCCCACTCACCACTTGTCTCTGCCCCAGCAGCTGTGTGCTGGGCGCGGCTGTCAGTGAAGCAAGTGAGGCTGTAAGTGACAGGCTAAAATTAGGTGTATCTATACAGCAGCCCCCCGCCCCACCGCCCTTTCATGGGCTTGCTCTGAGCCTTCTAGACTGCAAGTTGACCGCCGCCTGCCAAGTCTGAGGAGGGGGCGTGGGGCAGGGCCTCTGGGGGGATGTGGGCTTGGGGGATTGGTGTTACTAAGTGTGCTGAGCTAGTGTCCGTGTGTCCGTGTGCTGCTTCTTCCCCTGCAGGCTCGGACGGGAACAGCATGGATTCCGTGGACGGCTGCTGTGGCCCCAGGAAGACGGATGATTTCCAGAGTGCCCAGACAGGCTCCAGCCCGCAGAAGGTCGACCTCATCATCTGGGAGATTGAGGTGCCAAAGGTAGGCTTGCAAGCTTATGGTCCTCTCGTGTCTAGATCATTGCTTTGCCAGGGATGGGGGTGGGGGGGTGCTTCAGAGGGGGGAGCTTTCAACCAGAAGAAGCCTCTGAGTGAGCCAGAGACTGGAAGGAAAGGAAACTGCTGGGCTTGGGTACTGAGAGCTGCGGGGAACGGGTCTCCTGCCTTCTAGAGTGACTTCTGGTCCTCTTCCAGCTCCCAGTCCTGCTTAGTCTCCTGCACGTCACTTGTGTGTGCTGGGCTTTGACCTGTTTGAAGATGCTAGCGGAGCCGATGGGCTGGGGATATGGTCGAGTGTGTGCCTCAGGCAGGTGAGGCCCCGGGAAGTTTTGTTGGCTTGTTTTTAATTTTGTACTTGGGGCCACACCCAGTGATGCTCAGGACTTACTCCTGGGTCTGTGTGCAGGAGTCACTCCTGGCAGTGCTCGGGGCGGGGGGGATGGCATGTAGTGCCGGGGATTGAATGCAGGTCTGCCGAGAGCAAAGCAAGCGCCCTACGCAGTCATGCTTCTGCAAATTTCTTGATGTATCTTTTTGGTTTGAGGGCTGCATCCACTGTGCTCAGGGCTTCCTACAGGCTCTGCACTCAGGGATCACTCTGGCAATGCTCGAGGGACCAGATGGGGTGCCAGGATAGAACCTGGGTCGGGTGTGTGAAGGCAAGCATGCCTCCCCACTGTACTGTCTCTGTGGAGGCCCGGGTTTGATCCCCACACCACTGAACAAGAACCAAGTGTGGGGGCCCCCAGAATCCCGTTGCCATGCTCTACCTGAGCCCTCCAAGGCACTGAATAATTGAGCGCAGATCAGTCTCCATTTCAGAGAACTTGAGGAATCAAAACCTGTGAAGGAAATGAAAACCAGCTCTAATCCTACCCCGGAGAATGACTAGGAAGACTTTTATTTCCTTCTCATCTTGCACCCTGTGGTTTTTAAACAAAACTGAGATTATATTGCTTTAATTAATGCTCTTAAATATTTAACAGTTTAATTTTTCCACTGTTATTCTTTGAAAGTGTAGTTTTTAATTGCATCTTTCGTTGTGCGCGTGCCAGTTCACTGCACTGGTCCTCAGTTCCAGGGTGCTTAAGTGGTTTCTAGCTTCTTGCTGTTACAACTGATGACTTACTAGTTTGATCTCGATGTGTCTCTCTCTGGGACTCTGAAAAAATTGGCCCACTGCATTCTCCCCCGGCCCTGAGCTCTCTGTGGATGTGGAGACTTGGCTGGATCTGAGCTCAGGATCAGGAGGGCTGCCTTGACCCCGGTGGTCGCCTCCTTTTCTTGCTTCCTCCTGCAGTGACCCTCCTGGTACTCCTGCCGCTTCGCGAGTGGTTGCAAAGGGGGCACCCAGCCAGCTTTGGGTGCAGTGGGCCCAGGTCCCTCAGAGCTGCTGGGGTGGGTCGTCAGCAGTTGTGTCAGGCCTGATCTTACATCACAGCTAAATTTGGCAGCTGCTCGCTGCTGTGAACTCTGGCGCGCTGGGCACGTCTGCCGGCCTCGTGCCCAGAGGCTGTCCTTCGGCAGCTGGGGCCTGCAAGCCGCTCTCAGACCTTGATCTTCACACATCCCTCGGTCTTCGGACCCCAGAAGTGTGGAGGAGGAGGGTGGAGTCGCAGGTCTGCCTGAAGTGAAACTCAGAGCCAGCATTTGGAGATGCTGCTGTGTTGGCAGCTTCCTGAATTTCGGCCACACAGAGAGGGCTGACACGGGGACTGCTAAGACTCAGAGCCCCTGAGGACCCGTTTCAGTTGCACGGTAGCTCTGTGACCTTGGCCAGTTACTCTCCTGACTTTGTTCATTAGCGTTGAAATTCTGTAATGTTACAGTTTCATGGGTGAGGTACCAAGGTGGAGAACAGTGTCTGGCAAATGAGTTCATGTTGTATGTCATACTGTTTTTTGGGGGGGCATACCTGGCTCAGACCATACATGCTCAGGGCTTCCTCCTGGGTCTGTGCTCAGGAATTACTCCTGGTGTGCTTGGGGGGCCATATGGGATGTCAGGAATCAAACGTGAGTTGACCACATTGCAAGGCAAGCACTTAACCATTGTACTATCTCTCCGGTCCGAGTTTTTTATTTTTTCAAACATTTTTATTTTTTTCTCATTGGGAACAACTTTCAGTATTCCAGCACCATCCCCGCCACCAGTGTGACTCGCCTTCCTTTCGCTATTGTCCCCGTTTTCCCAGCTACCCCTTCAAGCCTTCGCCCTCAGCAGTCACAAAAGAGTTTATATTGCTCATTATAACTGAGTAGCTAGTGTAATTATTAAATACTCCAGTGAAAGAAAATTTGCGAAAATTGTCACATCTCACCATGGGGATATTAAGCCCTTGTCCGAGGGTTTTACTAAGCTGTTGTTGCTAGTTGAACCTCCTGTGTAATTGTTTTTGTTTCTTGAGCTTAGTTGACTTTTGTGTTAATTTCCCTTCTGATTTGGTGTGCTCCTACTGTAGAGTTTGGAGGTATCACCGGCCTCAAATGCAGGCACATGCTCCAGAAACTCCAGAATATTTAACTGGGCTGTGAAATACTTGCATAGCAGCAGTTGTGGGGTGTGGGTATGGCTGCCGAGGCTTCCGGAAGTAAAGAGGGGTAGGAGGAGGCTGCCCGCCTCCACTGTGAGAAGACCCCAGAGTTCTCAGCCCAGCGACTGCTATCCCCGACATTCCCGGTGGTTTGGGTCTCTGCCGAGCTCCGTGGTGAGGCAGTGGAGTGGGGCCGTTGGCGTGGCGGCCGCTGTGGGGCGTGGGTGCGGCCGCTGGGGCTTCAGCTACAGTTGTGCGTAGACAGTCTGTCTGAGCTTCAGCTTACCTGGAGGTAAGTCCTGTTAACTCTCTCTCTCTCTGGAAGCACCTAGTTGGTCGACTAATTGGCAAGCAGGGGCGCTATGTGAGTTTTCTGAAGCAAACATCTGGTGCCAAGATCTACATCTCAACCCTGCCGTATACCCAGAACGTCCAGATCTGCCACATAGAAGGTCAGTGGCAGCTGCTGCCCCGGGGTTAGTTTTCTTCCCTAAACTCTGGAAATGAGCTGAAACATTTTCAAGTCCCACTTGCTACCCTTTTGGTACCTCAATCCACGGATTGAAAACCCTGTTTATTCAAGGCAGCATTGAGCTCGGAGGAGACAGTACAGGGGCTCAGGCACTTGCCTTGCATGTGGCCCACTCCGGATCCCCACGTATGGTCCCCCCGAGAGTTGCCAGGAATGACCCTGAGCTGAGAGCCAGGAGGAAGTTCTGAGCACCACCAGGCGAGGCCAAAGCAAAGCCAACAGCTTTGAGTGTCTTCAGCCCTCATCTCCTGTTCTGGCGTCTCCTGCGAGGAGCAGAGAAAGTGCTTCGCCAGGGGAGACGGGTTTAATGTCTTGAACCATGGGCTCCATCAAAGCACCCTCTGGCCCCAGGGGCCATACCTCTCACATCTGCTAGTGTCCTTCTGTGTCTCGAATACATTTCACAGGGAGGAGTTCTCTTTCCAAAGGTTATAAACACCTCAGTTCAACTGAGTGGAGTTGAAGTGTCTTCCTTCCGAAGGCAAAAGTTAGCATGTTAGCACATGATGTCAGGATGCGTCGTGTAGAATGAGGGATAGGTTTCGTTTGTGTGTGTCTGTTTTGTATTTTGGACCACACCGGGTTCCTCCTGGCAGGATCAGGGGACCCTATGGGATGTTGGGGATGGAACCTGGGTCGACCACGAGCCTTACCCACTGTACTATCTCTCTGACCCAATCAGCTTGTGTTTCTCTTCTGCAAAATGTCAGTGCCCGTTGTACCACCTCGTTTCAGGCTCTCAGCATCACGTGGACAAAGCACTGAACTTGATTGGGAAGAAGTTTAAGGAACTGAACCTCACCAACATCTATGCCCCGCCACTGCCTTCACTGCCGCTGCCTTCTCTGCCGATGACTTCCTGGGTGAGTATGCTCCCAGGGGTCCAGGGCTATTTTGCGTTCCCCTACCCCTGGAGCTGCCCATACTAGAGGCTGGCCTCTGCTGGCCAGGTCCTCGTGTCATCTGTGTTCTCTGGAGCGGCGCTGGGGGGCTGGCGAGCTGGGGGGACGCCCGCCGCCTCTCCTGGCAGGACCATTCTTTCCTGGTTGTGCCTCCTGGGCATCCTTCATCTTTTCCCCCTGTTGAGAGCAGGTCACAGTCCACCCAGGAGACAGCATGTGTGTACACTGGCTGAGCATTCAAGGTGGTGCTGCCTCCAGGGCCACAGTTGCCACCTCTGAGACCTGCGTGGGAGGCATCACTGGGCGGGGCTAGGGCTGCAACAGGCCAGGGCATTTCTTATGGTCCATCTAGATCTGGTGGCAGCTTAGTGAAGGATTTTCTTCTCTTGGCCCTGAGGCAGGAGATACCTACACTGTGTGTCAGTCTCTTAAGAGTCAGCCTTTGAGAGACTCCGTCCTGGGTTTATTTAGAGTGGTTAACCTCTGTTTTTATCTCTCTTTCCCACTGGACGAACTCCTTAGGATCCTTGTTCCTCTAGGGGTAGGGATGGATACCCATTGTGTGCATTGGGTGGGGAAGCAGGGGTGGTGGTGGTGATTGAACCCAGGCCTCATGCGTGTAAGGAAAACTTTATCTCTCCGGTCTGTATTCTTTATTATTTTTATTTGGGTGGGGGGGGAGTCACACCTGGCGATGCTCAGGGGTTACTCCTGGCTCTGCACTCAGGAATAACTCCTGGCCATAAGGGATGCTGGAAATCGAACCCTGGTTGGCCACGTGCAAGGCAAACACCCTACCCGCTGTACTATCACTCCATCCCCACGTATTCTTTATTTTTTTCATTAAAATGCTTCAAGTTATTTGACCCCACTCTGACCCCTGTCCTGCAACACCTTCAATAACCACTAGAGGTGGCCTCACCTCAGGGCTGGGGCAGAGAGTCCAGCCCGCTGTGAATGCAGTGTGGACGGAGTGCTTGGACTCACTTCTTTCCATTGCACTCTGCTGACTCTGGGACTAGAGAGGCGATTCCAGATGCCTCAGACAGGAAGCCCCGAGGGGGAAATCAGGGCTGGGTCTCACACTGAGGCATTTGGGTAGGGTGAGGGGACGAGAGATGCCCTGGTGTCCGGATTCCCCAGGTGTTGCCTACCTTAGCCAGCAGGGAAGGGTGTCTGGTTTCAGAATCCAGTCTCACCTCTTCCTGGCCCTGCCCGCTGAACCAGCCTACATCCACACCTCCAAAACGGGGTGAGGTGATTTGCGGGGATGCCTATGTGCTGTGGGTGGAGGGGATAGGCCTGACTTCAGGCCCCTGTTTTGGGGGAGACTGGGAGAGGCCATCATGCCACAGTGGTGGGTCTGGGTCAGCAGGGAAGGCCTGAGTTGCTGGTGGCGATGCTTGGGGCCTGCTTCCCTCTCATTGTGGGCTACCTTTACTTAAAGCACTTTCAATTAAAAAAAAATGAGAGAGAGAGAGAGAGAAGAGAGAGATGGGGGAGAGAGAGAGAGAAGAGAGAGAGATGGGGGAGAGAGAGAGAGAGAAGAGAGAGAGATGGGGGAGAGAGAGAAAAAAGATTTCAGATTTCATTCCCATTCTCCTCCTCTAGGTCTTAACAGAGCCACTGGAGATACGAGGTTGGGGAGTAAAATCTGGGGGATGGACCTGGCTCCAGCCTGCTTTGAGGCCTGGTGCTTCCCTCCCTCTTGGCCCCATGGACCCTCCCTGTCCTGGCTGCGGGTGAGGCACCGCCGGTCACTACTAGCACTGATACAGGATGAGGGTCCCAGTGGACCTGGCACTCTGAACGGCTCTGCTTGAGCCTCAGACGCTGACTCGGGCTCCCCCCTCCCTTGATGGGTTGCCATAGGGCCCATTGCCCCTTTCCCTTCTCTGCAGCTCATGCTTCCTGACGGCATCACGGTGGAGGTGATCGTGGTCAACCAGGTCAATGCCGGGCACCTGTTCGTGCAGCAGCACACGCACCCGACCTTCCACGCGCTGCGCAGCCTGGATCAGCAGATGTACCTCTGCTACTCCCAGCCCGGCATTCCCACTCTGCCCACCCCTGTGGAAAGTGAGTGTGCCCCCCCCCCGGGGGGGGGGGCGGTCAGGGAGAGACCAGCTTGGCCAGTGAGCTCCGGGCTCCTGCCCGGGAATAATGTCCGCGCCTTCTTGCCGTTGGCCTGAAGTTGTGTCAGGCTGTTTCCTGGCTGGCCCAGGCCGCTGTTGACCCAGGACTCATGGCATTGGGATATTTGGACACATCAATTCAGAGGTCACTCTACCTACCACTTATGTGTTGAATGAGGTTGTTGCCCACCCGTCCCACAGTTGTGTAAGTGTGACACTTGTCGTAAGTGTGACACTTGTCGAATAGCAGCCGCTGAGAAGGCCTCTGTGGTGGGTGAGGGTGTCTCCGTTTTACAGACTGAGAAAGCTGAGCCTCTGAAGTCAAGTGACCTGCCTGGTGGCCCCTTTGCAAATAGGGCCTGGGAACCCACTCAGTTGCTCTCTTGAGCTCCATCCTTTGTCACAGTGAACTTAATTAGGCTTCTTGGTGGGAACTGAATGTCAGGACATCTCCCCAGCCCCTTGCGGGAGTCCTAACGCGAACACCATCACTACCCACCCACACCCTGCCTTGCCCTGATGCAGAGCTACCCTCCAGCTGCCTCCGAAACTTTTGACATTGCCGGAGCCTTTTACGTGGATTTTCCCTTGGAGGAATAAGCTATTTCAGTTGTCATGAGGCAGTTGAGCCGGGGTCAGGGCACTGGGGCCTGTTCTATGTAGGCCCTTAACCCCACCCTGTCTGGTACAGCCCCTCAGAGTGCCACTGGACCCTCATGCCAAGGACCCCTGTGCTCTGCCTCTTGCCGCCCCTCCTCAGGTGCTGTTGGCAACCGCTGGGCACCTGGTCCCTGTAGGCTGCCCAGGGAGGGCGTCGGACCTCTCAGTACCCAGGAATGGCTCAAGTGGGAGGGCACGTCCCCAGCTGGTGCCTGGCCCTGGGTTCAGTCCACTCCATGGGAACACTTGGGGACCACTGACTCCCCTCTGCCTCGGAGAGGTTCAGTGGGGAGGTGGATGACGTTGAGTGGGTGGTACTGAGTGCACCCACGCTCTGCTCCCTGCAGTAACGGTCATCTGCGCGGCTCCCGGCGTGGACGGTGCCTGGTGGCGAGCCCAGGTGGTGGCCTCCTACGAGGAAACCAACGAGGTTGAGATCCGCTACGTGGACTACGGCGGCTATAAGAGAGTGAAGGTCGACGTGCTCCGGCAGATTCGGTGAGCTGAGACCCTCAGACACACGCACACAGGCGCACGTCCCGCTCGCCAGAGGGCTGCGGTCTCAGCTCAGCTGTCCCTGTTTGTCCCAGCCTGGGGTGTGGGTGGATGCTTTCTCTTGCTGCCTACTCTGTTTTAGAGGAGTCTGGTCTAAGCAAACTCTTTAGAAAGGCCTGTCTCAGGCGAACAGCCAGAAAGGCAGCCGGTCCCTGGGAAGAATCTTCCGGAGTGTCACCCGGCCAGAGTGGAGCCGACTCCTGGGGGAGCTGGAGGTCAGATGCCTCTAGGGCTGGGGCTGGCAAGGCTGGTGGCCAGCTGCCCACGCACAGGCACATCTGACTCCGTGGCCTGTTGCCCCTCCCTGCACCTCAAAAGCTTTGTGCCTCATCCCTGGTGTCAGGTCCGGGTGCTAAACGGACCTGGGGCCACCGGCCCTCAAGCCCAGGTTCAGCTTGTTCCTGTTTTGCCTTTCTAGGTCTGACTTTGTGACCCTGCCATTCCAGGGAGCAGAGGTTCTTCTGGACAGCGTGATGCCGCTGTCAGGTGACACACGGGGCATCAGGATGGGGTGGGGGTTGGGGCGGCTGTGGAGATAGGCCTGGTTCCTCGAGAGCCCCACTTCTCCTTCAGCTGGGCGTCAGCAGGTGCAGGTCGCTGACGGGCAGAGAGCTCAGTCTCTGAAGAAGCTCGCGGGTGGGGCCTGGGTTACTCGGCCTGGGACTGTTCTTTCAGGCCCACAGCACCAGCCTGTCCCCAGGGCTCCAGCTGGGGTCCTTCCACCCTCCCACGTAGTCGTGGAGACCAGGTCTGTGCAGCTGCAGTCGAAGAAGGCTTTGAGGCTCAGCTAGCTGTGCCTCTGTTCCTGGATCTGGTGGGGGGTGAGGCACGGGTCCCGCTGACACTGATGCTGTGAGCACATGCTCTGAGGGATGGGGTTTGGCACCCAATCCTGGGAAAGTTCCTGAGCCTTGATTTCGGCCCTCCTCTCGGGAGATGGGGTAGTTACTTGTCTTTCAGCATAGTTGAGGGAGTCACTTAAGTTCTGGGCTTCCTAGTGTGTGGTCAGTAATACCAGTCCACCCATTCCGTGTTCCTCTGTGCCCGGCCCTGGCTCCGGTGTGTTGGTTAGATTGCCTTTCTTTCAGTGTGTGGTTAGATTGCCTTTCTTTCAGTGAAACGCGCAGAAACACATCTGGTGGTTGTAGTCATGCCCTGGGACAGTGGGCTTCAGTTTCCTTGATGGCTCTGGTCTGGCCTCCCTCTCCATTTCCGTGACAGTCTGACCAGGACCGCCTGAAGTGCTGCTTCCTCCATAAGACCTTCGTAACACAGGCCTGGTCTTTAGTGACCACTGCTTGCCACGGGTGTGTGTTTTGTGCATCACTTTTATGACCTGACCGAGAGTGCTATCTCAGGGCCCTGTCCTGCCGAGAGAGAGCATGCCCACCGATGGTGCGGTCAGTTCCTTGGCCTCGTCTGCCTTCGTCCCTCCGTATTTGCCGCCTGTGTCTTCGTGACCTTGCTCTCCCTCACGTGCTGCGGATTCCGTGGGGAAGGCCAGACAGGAGGGAGGGTCTTTTGGTCCTCTCCTCCCCAGTGAGCAGCGTGGCCAAGGGACTCGGCTGAGTCTTCTCAGAGTCCTGGGCTGGCTTGTCACAGGGGACTCTCCCCAGTGAAGTTCGGGCACCCCCGGCAGCATTGGCAGTGGTCTTGGAACATCTGCAAACTAAGTGACAAGATTCCCAGCTTCAATGAGTCTAATGGCTGTGTCTCTTCTCTCTTAAGATGACGATCATTTTTCACCGGAAGCTGATGCGGCGATGAGTGAGATGACGGGAAATACAGCACTGCTGGCTCAGGTATGTGGTTGTGGGGTGGAGGCTTGGCAGGACCTTCCCGAGGTACCTCCAGCCTCATTAGTCCAAATCTGGGCTTTGTGGACGTTACTCTCTCAATTCCTTCCTGTGGCTGCGGTCTTCTGGTTGGCTAGCGAGTAGCCTTTGGGGACAGGTGCATGTGGTAGCTAATAAACATGCTTGGTGATTTTTCTTATTTTCCAGGTGACAAATTACAGTGCGACTGGTCTTCCTCTGATTCAGTTATGGAGTGTGGTTGGAGATGAAGTAAGTTTTTTCCCTTCCTTCCAAGCTCCTGGCCAGCGGTGCTATGATTTGTAGCTGGTTCCAACATTGTTTCCCCTTGAGCTAATGAAAAGATGTAGCTGTGGGCCAGTGTCTCCCAGGGAACGCTTAGAGATGTCTGGAGAGCAGTTTGATCACCACATTAGTGGGTGGTGATGCTACTGTAACCTACTGGGCTGGAGTCCAGGGGTACTGCCAAACATCCTACAGTTTGCAGGACAGCCCCAAGCAGAATGTCAGCATACTTCAGTGCTGACCTTCCTCGACTCTACCCTGTTAGGTTTCCTCTCTATTTCATGGCGTTGAGTCTCAGATTTCTTCAGGTTCTTTTTTAATTTTTTTTTGGGGGGGAGGGGGCACACCCAGCAATGCTCAGAGATTACTCCTGGTTCTGCACTCACTTCTGGTGGTCCTTGGGGGACCATATGGGATGCTGGGGATCAAACCCAGGTCAGCCATGTGCAAGGCAAACACCCTATCCCCTGTACTATCTCTCTGGCCGCTTCTTCAGGTCCTTAACAAGCTTTTCCTCCTGCCAGCTGGACAACTAAGTCTTGTTGGTTACTTCTGTGGCTTTAGCCACTGTTGCCTGGGGTGGCACTTGGGACCGTCAAGAGGGAGAACGCACATTGGACTGGGAAATGGTCCCTGCATGCCACAGGCAGAGTGCTCAAAGCCCGTTTCCTTTCCAGGTGGTGTTGATAAACCGGTTGCTGGTGGAGCGAGGACTTGCTCAGTGGGTGGACAGCTACTACGCGAGCCTTTGACCCCTGGTCCTTCACAGCCAATTCTTGTCTTTTTTGCACTGTTGAAATTGGGCTTGGTACTCAAGGCAAAGATTTACATCCTAATTACAAGCCTTGTCCTCCCCAGAGAGTTCTTTTCTTAAAAAAGAAAAATCAACAGCATATTGCAGTTATGTGGAGAAAATGTCTCTGAGATAAGGAAGGAACTGTGGGTTCTTTTGAAAACCTTGGGGTGGAATATTACAAGCCAGCGGGCTCTTGTGGGTATTATGAGCCAGTGGGCTTAACCTGGTTCTAAGCTGTTAACAGTGGAAGGAAAACTCCCCCAATCAGGTGTCGCATTCCCCCATTGTAACCCATTGCTCCCTCCCTTCCCACTTTCTTCCCCATCCAAAATCAGGACAGCTGTAGCAAACAGACCAAGGGATGCATCGCTTGCTTCGAAGTGTTTCTTTAACTTGAAAAATGTTTCTTCAAGGAGCAAGACATGATGTGACTAATTGGTATTGATTACTTGTATAACTTACATAAATGAATTTATGGTATTTAAACCAGTTTTTATAAACTTCATCGAGGCCTCTAAGAAGTCTGGCTTTTTAATCATACCTCTGGCCTTGGTCCATGGGGAAGGGAATCTGTTATCTTGCCAAGCCTGATAGGTTGTAATTTGTAACCATTTTCTATTTGTGCAAACTGTAAATATATTTTAAAAAATGTAATATTTTGTACAACATACACTGGAAAACAAAGGGAACTCAGACTTCATAGCACACGTCATCCTGAGCAGAAGCGCCTCCCGCAGCCCACAGCTGCCCAGCCCAGGCCCTCCTGCCCACCGCATAGGATGGCTGGATGGTAGAACTTGTGATCCAGAGTGGTTTTTTTGTTTTGTTTTGTTTTCTGTTTTTTTTTTTCCTGTACAAATTTGTTTAAAAAAAGAAAAAAAAAGCAACTCATTGAATTAGCTTGCAGTGGTGTGTCTGGTTCTTTATAGACTGGCTTCCGCATTGTGCTATTTAAAATAAGTTAAGTAACTTAAAACTTATATAAATCTCAACTTGCATACACTGTAGCTTTGAGTCCGTTCTTTTCCATGGTAAACAAAATTGGGGGGTGGGTGTTAGGGGGGCCAGAGGATCCCAACTAAGGAGATTTGTGGAAATTTCAAGCCGGAAATATCAATTTTTCTTACAGTAACAAAGCTCTCATGTTTGAACTTTGATCATAGGGTCAAACACCCATCCCTTCCACCACCAAAATCCCCAGATCCCCCCACCCCATTCCACAACCTCCCCCTTCCTGTATGGCAGACAATTTGCAAAATATTCTTTCTCTACTTTAGCTACCTTCGATATTTCAAGACCAATCCTACCACCTCTCATACCTGCTGAAAATCTCATAGCTTTTTTAAAAGAGTCAAGGTTTATAAATTTGTTTTTATCCTTCAAAAAAATTTTTAATGCTGTATTCATTATAAAACTATAATTTCAACATGTTCGATATACAAAATCCAGTTTTTTTATTTATCCAGTGAGTAGTTTACGTTGAACTCACAGTTACCACTCTCCAAGTGCCTGGTGGCCCCCAGTTGCTGAGGCCGTCCGGGTGGGGGGGGGCAGTCCCATGTGGCGGGGGATCCTCCGAGCCAGGAGCAGGGGTCAACCTGACCACACAGAGGGGACACTTTCAGCCTCATAGGCTCATGTACGCAGCAAGTTGTGATGCAGCGGAGACAGCCCACTGCGAGAGTGTTGGGGCCACCCAGAAATGCTGCATCGGGAATGGGGGCAGAGCACAGTGCGCAGGTCTGGCCTTCCGGACAGGGCAGTGGAACCCCAGGAATGAGTGATGCCTCACAGGGTGGCTGCCTATGTCCGGTGAAGTGGGGTTGATGGTAGCGCACCTGGGTTGCAGATTAAAGAGCCAACACTGGATCCAACCCCTTTCCAGATAATGTTGAGGAGATGCTGTTATCACATCACTGCCCCGACACAGCCCACAGTCGATTCTGGGCCCCTAACCCTATTTGTATTCCTGCACTGCCCTGGCATGGGTATTTTTTTTATTTTTTGGGTTGGGATCACACACAACAATGCTCAGAGGTTACTCCTGGCTCTGCACTCAGGAATTACTCCTGCTGGTGCTCAGTGTAATGTACGGGGATGCCAGGGATCGAACTTGGGTCAACTGCATGCAAGGCAGATATCCTATCTGCTATACTGTTGCTCCCGTCCTGGGGTTGGGGGGGTGTTTCACTGGTCCCTCACAGGAGACAGGAGTAGGGGTGAGGTTGCATACCTCTAGAAAGTAAGGTGATGGACAGTGATGAGGATGAAAAGACGGCCAAGGCCTTGCATGTGGCAGCCCCTGTCCCTGTCTACCCTGTATAGGGTCTTCTGGTGTATGCCCCTCCCCCCACCACGGCTCCTTTTCATAAAGGCACATGCCGAGAGCATGCCCTGAGTGCTGATTTCAGGGCCTGCCCCTGCTGTTCCCAGGCCCCTTACACTGGCCCATCATGGGCCTCTAGCCAGGGTGGCCCTAGGATCCCCACCGCCATGCTCCCCTTGAGTGCATCCCAGCTCTGCAGGCACCTGCTATACTTGCTCAGCTGGGGGTGGAGAAATGCACCGCACTTTCCTCCTATATGGGATCAGGCAGACTCACCCACCACAAAGCATCCAAAGGTGATCCTGGAAAGGCTCTTGGTTGTCCAGAGTGTGATCCAGCCCCGGCCAGCAGCTTGCTCCCCGTGCCCTTGGAGGTCCCAATGACAACAGTAAACACTTGTTTAGGGTATAGCAAGTCATGTAACACCCAGGTCCTGACCTGTTTCCTCTTCCTGGGTAAAGGGTGCCTTCCCGTTGGTTTTGGGGAGTGTTCACAAAGCCTGAGGTGCAGGCCTGGCCCTTATCTCACAGGCACCACTGAGGGAATTTAAAGGTGGGAATGAGAAGACTGGTGCAGAAAGGAGGCTTGGGGAGGTGGTCCTGATGAGGCAACAGGCAGCAGGTCAGGGGTCCAGAGCAAGAGTACAGCAGGTAGTGCATTTCCCTTGGCATATGGCAGACCCAGGTTTGGTCCCCAACATCCCATATGGTCCCCTGAGCAAAGCCAAGAGTAACCTTGAGCATCACCAGGACCCCTCAAAAACAAAAAAAAAAAAACCCAGCAGGTCAGGATTTATGGATTGAGGGCAGGGCAGGTGAGGAATGGGCCATGACTTTAGTCTTTACTGTCAGGGATGTGCATGTCAGGAAGGCACTTGGGAAGTTAGTTCCTGAATACATGCTTCTCGGGTGCCTGTGGGCCTCCCATTATTTTCTATAGCTGAAGAGTGAATTTTGAAGATTTTTTTCCCCCAATTGTGAGGCTGTATCTGGCAGTGCCCAGTGGCCATATGGGAGCACAGATCAAACAAGGGCCTTGTACCTGTCTTGCATGAGCTATATGCCTGGTCTAAAAAAAAAAAATTTTTTTTGTCAGTTTTGACTATTCTGAAATCTTTTAGAAATTATTTAATGTTACTTAACTCTCGACTTAAATTCCTACCCCCTGCCTCCTTTCCTCTCCGCCCCCCAGTGCCATCTGGCCCCCCATCTCACACCTCCTCCCCCCCACCCCCCTGCTCCCTTGCCCATGTTGACAGGAATTGAACCCAGGGGTTGCACTGGGAAGGTCTGGCCTTTACTGCAAATCTTGCTGCTTTTATGGAGGAGGACATAGAAGCCTAGCACCAGCATTCCAGATGTCTTTAATAGGGCAGGTGATTTTTGACAGAGTCTTTCAATTACCTCTGGGCCATGGAGGGAACCAGGGCAAATTTGAAGGAGAAGCAGATGCTGGAGGTTTGACAGTTTGCCTGGTGTAGGGAAAGAGAGCAGGAAACGCCAAGCAGGAGGCAGGTTGACAACTTCTCCTTGGGTTCCCGGGAGCCTGCTGGCTTTGGAGGAATGACTTCCAGGGAGGCAGGGGTTGGATTTACTGCTACAGTTTATTCTGACCTTGGCATACACAGGCAAAACGTCCATCTCAGACATCTCAGATCAAGCAAGGTTTGTAATTAAGAGTTGCAGAATGATGTCAGACTCTGTGAACATCAGGTGGTGCCCATGGGCCTTTTATTACTCTCTATAGCTGAAAAGTGGATTTTGAAGGTTTCCCCCAATTGTGACATGCAATCGGTAATATTGGGCCTCACAACAACCCAGGCAGGGACTGGTTGGTCCCAGAGATTGGAGATAATGAACAAAATAATTATTTCACTCCCAGATGGAGCAAAAGTAGAACTCGAAGCAAAGCTATTGTCCCAAGCTAGGTTCTCTCTCTCTTTTTTTCCTTTTTGGGTCACACCCGGCGATGCACAGGGGTTACTCCTGGCTCTGCACTCAGCAGTCACCTCTGGTGGTGCTCAGGGGACCATATGGAATGCTGGGAATCGAACCCGGGTCAGCAGCTTGCAAGGCAAACGCTCTACCCGCTGTGCTATCTCTCCAGACCCCAAGCTAGGTTCTCTTAACCACTGAAAAACATGAGGGTTGATTGTACCTCGACTCATATCCCCAAATAAATGCCACATTGGTTAAATGATCCACCAATAGAGGTTTTGAGCTTATTTATTGGGGTTTGGGCCACATCTTTTGTTCTTTTTTTTTTCTTTGGGTCACACCTGGCTCTGCGCTCAGGAATTACTCCTGGCGGTGCTCAGGGAACTATATGGGATGCTGGGAATCGAACCCGGGTCAGCCATGTGCAAGGCAAATGCCCTACCCGCTGTGCTATTGCTCCAGCCCCGAGGGCCACACCTTTTGATGCTCAGGGAATTTACTCCTGGCTCTGCACTCAGGAATTACTCTTGGAGGTGCTTGGGGGACCATATGGGATGCCACAGATTGAACCTGGGTGAACTGCATGCAAGGCAAGCACCCTACATGCTCTACTTTGCTCTAACCCAGTTTTGTAGAGACCAATTCTTTTATGAAAAATCAGGTTTTAAGCAATATAAATAACAAGAGAAACTTGTATCATCTTTTTTTTTTTTTGGCTACACTCAGTGGTGCTCAGGGATTATTCCTGGAGGGCTTCAGGGGACCATATATGGTGCTGGGGATAGAACCTAGGTCTGCCACATACAAGTCAAATGTCTTACCTAC